TCGGGTTAGCCCAGCCCCACCTCTCCCTCTTCGTTCCCAGTTTACCAGGCTGCTTCCCTCCCCGCCCCACCTGATGCCTGCCTCTGGTGACCTTGAGTCCTTCCTGAATAGTGGGGTGCGTGCCAGTGCCTGGCACAAACGTTGCCCAATCCCTGAGAATGCCAACTTTGAAACCTGATCGTTCGCATGCTGAAGAAGAAAGAGTTGTTTATGCTGTATGCTGACGTCCTCGCCGGCCACCCACGACAAGGCTGACACAAATTTGCTGTCTTGTCCTCCAGCCGCCTTGGCGGCCCTAGGGCAGCCGCTCTGCTTAGCACACACTGATGGACGTGTTTGCTTTGGTCTCCCTGTGTTCCCCTCGGAGTGATCTACCTCTGCGTAATGACACTGTGAGGCCCGAAAAGATGCAGGACTCCCGGACCAGACTGTAGGGGACAGGGGTATACAGCAGGCAAATAGGGGAGGCTTTCTGGGAAAGGTGACGGGCAGGAAGGCAGACAGCCACCTGAGGGCTGGCCCCCACAACCGCTGAAGGGGGCAGGCGGCAGCACCGAGTCCTCCTACAAGAGGGCTTTTGTGGGATTTCCAGCTGAGGGACAAGTGGGAAAATTCTGGCTGTTTGGGAGAGGACAGGGGAGCCGAGTCTTCCTACGAGGGACTTTTGCAGCTTTCTCCCCCTAAATCAAGGACTGGCAACGAAGGGCACTGACACAGCTGGTGTGGCCTCTGCCCTTCCATGCCCCCGACTTGGACAGCCCCCCCACCCTGCACAGGACCTCCCAAAGACCAGTAGTGTGGTAGAAGACAAATCGGTGGGGGGAAAGGGGGCTGGGAGGTAGCGTGCACGGGTTGGGGTGGCAAGGCCGCACCAGCCTCAGGAACGGGTTTCAGCTGGCTGCCTGCGTCTTCCCTGGAGCCCTGTCATCCCCACAGCCTGTCACAGGCCATTAAGCTCTCGGTAGGTGCTGTGCTTGACTGAGGCTGGGTGCAGGCAGGGGTGGGGGCAAGGGGGAGGCTTGGGAACACACTGCTCTGTCCCCTCCTGGGCCTTGGCTTGCTAAAGATAAATGCTTCCCCCTGGCATCTTCATTTCCCCGTTGAAAAAGCTATGCCCTCATGCACCCCTGGAGATTTCCTGTGTATGTACATACATATACACAAATACCGCATACATACATACATACATACCCCCCCCACACCACACACCACATGCACAAACATATCATGCACACACACACACATCACACACATGCCACATACATGCGGGGCTGTGTGCACACACACGCACACATAGCATCCAGGTCCTAAATTCTGACACTTCTGTCCCAGCAGCCCCCACTCCCTGAATGCCCCCTGCTGCTCCAGGGCTGCTAGTGAGAGCCCCCTTGGATGCCTCCAGACTGCACACAAAACCCTTTTTGCAGCCCGGGGCAGAGCTGTTGAGACAGTCAGCCACGTGACTGCCCAGCCCAGCAGTTCCCGCTTGGGTATCCCTCCCTGCCTGTGTCCCTCCAACTTTCCCCCTATTTGGGCTGCAGGGGAATGAGCTCATCCAGCCTCCTTAGGGCTTGAAAGCAGAGGAGAGAAAGCATGAGACTTACTCATGCCAAGGACCACAAGAGCCCCGAAGCGGAGAGGTCGCCCCACTCAGAGGGAGACATGTTCATGCCCAGAGGCTCAGGGACTCCCCTGCTTAAAACTCTGTACCCACTCTCCTTGGTTCACAAGCATCTCAGCTCAGCAGAAAAAGCCTGCCAGGGCCAGACCCCCAGGCTCGCCTCAGCCTGTGTCCCTCCATTCCCCGGCTCCTGGACTCTCAGATGTGCTGGACTGTTTGCTCTTCTTCCCTGTCTAGCCTTGGTCTCTCAAGTCCGCACCCCTTTCCTTTGCACATGCTGTGCCTTCTGTTTCTTTTTAATATTTTATTTATTTATTTGAGAGAGAGAGAAAGAGAGAGAGAGAGCATGAGCAGCGGGGAGGGGAAGAGGGAGAGGGACAAGCAGACTCCCCACTGAATGGAGAGCCTGACAGGGGCTCCATCCCAGGACCCTGAGATCATGACCTGAGCCGAAGGCAGAGGCTTAACCCACTGAGCCCCCGGGTGCTTCTATTCTTTGTTTTGAATGCCTTTTCCTACCTTGTCCACCTGGAGAATTAATTCATCCTTCACCCTTCAGTTTGCCTCTGCCAGGAAGACTTCCTTCATAGTACCCACTATTCTCTACAGACTTTGATGCCCCTTCTTTGGGACCCTCGTTCAGAGCATTTCCCACATCATATTTTAGTGGTTAACAGGCCCATCTTCCTAATTAAACTATGAGCTAAGGGGCAAGGGACTGAGTTTCATCTATAACTTCAAGCCTAATGCTGACACACAATAGGTGCTCAAGAAATACCTGGTAACTGCGTGGGTGCCTTAATGACGTGGGGAAGAAGACATCAAAGTAAACAGAGAGGCATACCAGGTCTCTCAGGAGGAAAAGGAATGCGAATGGTAGGTAGCAAGGAAGGCTTCCTGGATGAAGTGAACAGGCTGTTTCCAGGGAAAAGGAACTGATTGGTCAAGGCAGCAAGTAACCATAGCAAAGGTCTTCGGTCAAGAGCAAGAATGTTGGGGCACCTGGGTGGCTCAGTCATCAAGCAGCTGCCTTTGGCTCAGTTCATGATCCCACGGTCCTGGGATCGAGCCCTGTATTGGGCTCCCTGCTCAGCAGGAAGCCTGCCTCTCCCTCACCAACCCCCCTGCTTGTGTTTCCTTTCTCGCTGTATCTCTCCCTGTCCAATAAATAAATAAAATCTGTTAGAAAAAAAAAAAGAGCAAGAATGTTTGTAGCCCTTACACGTTACTCTCCCGTTTAATGTGCACACCCACCATGGGAGGGTGACTCTGTCATGATCTCCATTCCACGCATGAGGAAAAGTGGAGCTCAGTTACTGGCCTTTGCAAAGCAAATAGGTCAGATATGACAAAAGAAGCAGAGCAACGAGGAGTGATAGAGAGTGTGGGATTTGACCTTCTACGACAGGGAAGCTACTTAAAGAGCTTTTTAAGCTCTTTAAGCCTTTCTTTTTATTTTTTGACAGAGAGGGTGGAGTGGGAGAAGGGCAGAGGGAGAAAGAAAATCCCAGGTGGGCTCCATGCCCAGCGGGAGCCCAACCTGGGGCTCGATCCCATGACCCTGAGATCAGGACCTGAGCCGAAATCAGGAGTTGGACACTTAACCAACTGAGCCACCCAGGCACCCCAGGGCAGCTCCTTAAAGAATCCATGCCTCTGAGTGAGTCTAAGCTCCTCAGGCAGGCACTGGGGGCGGGGGGTGGGTGTGAAATGGGGGGAGCAATAATGAACTGAACCAGTGAAAAAGCGCTGGGGATCTGCAGGAAGGGCAGGCTGCCACCTCCAAGCCACCAACCTCGACGACCCAGGTGACCTGCAGGAGCAGCCAGCACCATTGGTCCTGGAGCTAACCAGCCAGCTGTCCCGGGAGCTGGACAGGCTGAGGGACCTGGGTGGAGAACCCAGACCCCCTTCGACAAGTGTGAGCTACACTGGCATGGCCTCGGGAGCGAGCACAGTGGCCGCAGCCCCTCCTGGATCCATGGTCAGCATTCTAGAACTGTGGTTTGGCTCAGTTTGGGTGACATGGCACAGAGCCACCACTCAAGGTCCCATCCCAGACCTGGATGAAATGGCCGGGAAGGTTAATCAGAGCCAGACTGGGAGGGTCTGGAAGGCATACCAAGGAATTTGGGAATTTTCCTGGCTTGGAGTTGGCAGTGAAGGTGGGCCGTGCCTCTGGTGGTGTCCTGAAGGTGCTGGGCATCCTGAGGCTGAGGGGGAAGGGCAGGAAGACGTGCCTGTGGAGCCCAGGGGCAGGTTCTGAATGGGTAGTGCGGGCTGTGTGTCGCTGAGGCCACAGGGCCTGCACGGAGCCTCGGGAGGTACTGGCAGGTGAGGAACAAGTCAGGGAGGAGGAACAGCGAGGAGCTGAGGAAGTGGGGGAACCAGGGACACAGAGCCCTGGAGGATTGTTCTGGGTGTGGGCACCATGGCTCTCCTTCCTGGGCCGATGCAACTCTGACGTCTCCAGTGTCACGTTCGGAGTTGGGCTGTCAGATGTCCCTGTGCCCTCTCCCCGCCCCACGGGAGGTGCAGGTCATGCTGTTTGAGCCTAGATTCCACTCTAGAAGCCCAAGGTACTGGCAGCTGAGGGCTGAGACAAGCCTCTGTGTGCATTGTGTTGTATCTGTCCATTCCACAGGCCTCCTAAGGCCCTACTATGTTCCAGAGCCTGGGCTGGGCTGGGGATCCAGGCCTGAGGACCTGCCCTGCCCACAGGGAGCCCGTGTACAGTCCGGTGGGAGGCCGAGGAAGCAACTGGGTCCTGCAGTCTAGGGAAGAGGAGCACCAAGGAGAGTCCTCCCCAGACCTGGAAACGTCCAGGAAAAGCGGCAGTTAAAGATGGTTCTGAGCAAAGCCCCTAGATTAAACCACCATGGACAGGAAATCCAGGGGTCTGCCCTACAATCAGCAAAGTCCTGGCCATGGGACCTGTAGGGCTAGTAACCCAGTGTCCTCTGAGCTGTATTGTGTGGGAAAACAAAAAGAATAAAGTAAAACTGTGAGTGGGAAGGGAGTTCATAGGTAGGACATTGTAGACTTTATTTGACTGTAGACTTTATTTGTCTAGACTTTATTTGAATCCTGATTTTTTTTTTATTAAGTTATCTCTACCCCCAACATGGGTCTCGAACTCACGACCCCCGAGATCAAGAGTCACACGTTCCACCGACTGAATCAGCCAGGGGCCCATAGCTCCAAATTAAAAAAAAAAAAAAAAAGGAAAAGAAAAATGATGATGGATGAGTCTGCTCAGGCTGTCATAACAAAATACCACAGCCTGAGAGGCTGAAAAAGAGCATGAATTTATTTCTCACGATCTGGAGGCTTGACGTTCACTCGCGGTGTTCTGTTTCCAGTGAGGTCTCTCTTCCTGGTTAGCCTCCCATGGCCTCCCCTCAGAGGGTGTGCAGGCTGTGGGGAGAGGTGGGCGTGAAGAGATTGCTCTTGTTTTTCTTAGAAGGCCACCAATCCTTAAAAGGACCTTCTTCATATGACCTCATTTAAGCTTAATTACTTCCTAAACACCCTATTTCCCAATATAGACACGATGGAGGCTAGGGTTACCAGATGAATTTTTGGGGAGGACTCAGTCCACTGGAGATGACATTTAGGAGGCAACTGGATCTTTGCTGACTCAGTTTTCGATTACATCAAGGAATTACTGGTAAATACCTCTTGGGGTATGGAAATGGTAGTACTGTCTTATGTATAGGCATATACATGTATGTAGCATATGTGTGTATGCATATAGGGAATAATATTACCATATATGGATGTGTGCGTGTAGTATATATATATATATATATATATGTTTCCTTATCTTTTAGATACACACCAAAACATTATAGGAGCGATCATCTGACATTGAGTATTTGCTTCCAGATAAGGGGGAATGAATGTGGCTGCAAATGAGGCAGGACTGGCCATGAGTTGATGGTTGTTGGGTCTGGGTTATGGGTTCATGTGAGCGCATTATGTTATGCTGTCTACTTTTGCATGTGTTCTAACTTCTCCATAATAAAATGTGAAAACAGAAAGTGAAGAGGACTGGGGCACCTGGGTGGCTCTGTCCTTCTTGAGCATCTGCGACCTGATTTTGGCTCAGGTCATGATCTCATAGGCGGTGGGATTGAGTCCAGTCCCATTCTCCCCACCTCCCACCCCCGCCCTTGGGTTCTGTGCTCAGCAGGAAGTCTTCGTGAAGATTCTCTCCCTCTGCCCCTGCCCTCACATGCTCTCTCTCCCTTTCTCTCTCTCAAATCAATAAATCTTTAGAAAAATGAATAAATAAATACAATCTTAAAAAAGAAAAGAAGTGGAGAGGATTGGTGAAGTTTAGGGTTGGGGGAAGGAGTCAGGCATCTGCTAGAAGAAATTGTTCAGGCGAAGCTCTGAGCTGGTGGGGCAGGTGGGTGTGTGAGCCCCCGGGGGTTTACAGGTGCTGGGGCATGAAGCTGTGCCACGCACATCGGGGATCCAGATGACTAAGGCCCCGTCCCTAGGCTTTGAGGACAAAGATGAGTCTCAGTGGAGCGCCCTGCTTCAGGACCAGTGAGACTGGAACCCAGTGGGAGAGCCCTGAAGGGCCAGTAAAGCTGTAAGGGGGATTAGGAGATGGGCATTTGTTGTGGAAGGGCTGGGAGACCAGGTGGTAGGGGAAGCTTCCAGCAGAGACAACCCAGCACGCTAAGAGCAGGGCAGTCTGGGGATGACGCAACAAGAATGTGGTCATCCGGGTTCTCAACCAAATCTCTGCTGGAGTTGTAGGCAGCTCACCTTTGCTTTGGACATCTGACTTCTTTTGTGTCCTTACTGGGTGACTTTGGTCAGGTTACTTGACCTCTCTGATCCTCAGTTTTTTCTTCTGTGAAATGGAGGTAGTAATGGGGCTGCCTCATAAGGTTATTGTGGGATTAAATGAGAAAATGCTTGTAAAGCACTAAAAAGAGTGTGCCTTAGCTGTTATTATCAGAGTTTCGGGGAGGAAGCTGCTTTCCCCTGGGGCAAGGAGGTGGAGACAGTAGCCATTAAAATGAGGGCCCGGATGGGGAGGTGAGAACAGCTCTGTACTCCTCCCTGCTAGCCCTTAACAGGTTTGTGATCTATTTTTAATTTAAAAAAAGTGGTTTCCTCATAGCAGTGAGCCACTGGTCAGATGCAGAAAAGAAGTTGCTGAGAAAATTTCAAGTAAAATCCACTGGGCCTTATGAGAAATCGTGGCTGGTCAAGATCAGCCATGGGAGGGCTCCAGAAACTGCCTCTGGGTCCTGTTGCCCCCTTGGGAGCATAAGGTCAGACCCTGTGAGGGAGGGTGGGGCCTGAGAAGGCTCCTCCCTCTTGGAGGAAGCACGGGCCTTTCCCCTTCGGGGCTGTGGCTCTGGGACCACTTCCTTCTTCCTACTCTGAAGCCAGGAGCAGGCCTACTGAGCCCTCTGGAAAGACCAGAGCTCATTCCAGGATGCCTTAGCACCTCTGTGACCCCAGGTGAGGGTGGCTGAGGGTGCTGATTGGAGGCCTCCCGCCCTGTTTCAGGGAGTAGCTGAGTACCACCATGGAGGCCTGAAGAATGGAGGGAGAGAGTAAGGAGAAGCTGGCATCTGTGTCCAGTCTGGTGACCGTGTTTGAAAACAGCAGGTATGGGGTGGTGGGGGTGGCAAGGGTCGCCAGGGCCAACCGGTGGGCTCCCTGTAGTTCCACTGTCCAGCCCGGGCCCCCCTCTGCCCACCCACCACCAGGCCTGGAGCACAGGCCCTCCCTCTCTCCATGGTTAAGGATCAGTACTTGGGCCACCTTGGCCCCCCACAGTGAGCAGTTCTCTCTCTGGGCCCATGCTAGACACCTCCTCCTGTCTGGGCTGTGCCTGGATTCCTGGTAGCATGGAGGAGTGTGGTTAGGCCCCAGGAGCTGGGCAATGGGGAGGGTGTGTGCAAGGATGTGTTGGGGAGAGTCCAGAGGTGTGTAGTTGAGTGAGTGTGGGTGGGCCCCACAGTGCTGGGGCTGCAGGACTCCACCCATTGCCTCTCCCTCAGAAATGATAGTGATGCTTATCAGACACTCTTTATAAGTAGGACAACCATATAATTTATCATTCCGATCAGGGCACAATTAAAACTGGAAGTGGATGCCATTAAATTTTTTTGGCGGAGGGAAGGGGGCGAAAGAAAAAGCTGAGACTGTACTGGGAGAACCTGGACGGATCAGCAACCTACGTTTGGGACACTGTTCTAAGTGACTTGTGTGACTTTTTTCATTTAATTATCTAACAGCCTCCGGAGGGTAGGTCTATTTGTAGTCCTACCTTCTGATGAGACTGTGGGTGTACAGAGAGGCAGGGAGGTTCAAAATGCTTCAGGTTCATGGATAGGGGCTCCCATCTGAAGGGAAAAAAACTGAGCCTCATGTGTGGAGGTTACTGGTGGCCCTGGCAGGGGCGGGGTGTGTGTGTGTGTGTGTCTGTGTGTGTGTGTCTGTGTCTGTGTGACATTAATCTACTCTGCAGGCTTTTCTTTTCTTCTTCTTTTTTATTTTTTACTTTTTTGAAGATTTGATTACTTGTCAGAGAGAGGGAGAAAGGGAGAGCACAAGCAGGGGTTGCTGTAGTCAGAGGGAGAAGCAGGCTCCCCACTGAGCAGGGAGCCCGATGCTGGAACTCGATCCCAGAACCCCGGGATTATGACCTGAGCCGGAGGCAGACGCTTAACTGACTGAGCCACCCTGGGCATCCCTCTGCAGGTGTTTCTTAAACCCATCACTGTGTTAGGAACTGTTGTCGGTAGCATTCTCTGGAAATAGACTCTAAGGTAGAAATTTGCTTCAGTAGATTTACTGGGGATAGTTTTGGGGATGACACTTGTTGGGGCAGGGTATAGCACTGGGAGAAGCTGAACTGTGTATACTTGCAACAGAGGCCTCAGCCCTCCCAAGGAGCTCTGGAGCTGAGATTTCCGTCAGGTTGTTCTACTGAGGCAAAGCCAGGGGTCTTTGTACCCCCACATGGACTAGTCATTGGATATGGACTTGACCTGGGATGACAAAGCATCACCCAGGAACTGTAGTGGACACAGGAGCCAAAAGAATGATCCCTGCTGAGAGGATTTCTGTCTTTGGACATCAAGCTTATGGAATTACTGTGATGCCAGGTCACAGACAATAGATTTCCCAAGAGGAGCCTAGATTCTGTGCTGAGGGCACTCAGAGCAGAGAAAGACTTCTGTGGGCTTCGCAGTGGATGTGGCAAAGATGTGGGCCTAGAAGGGTGGTTCATCTTCTTGAGCTCCTGACCTTACCCCGCCTCTCCCAGAGTTCTTTGCCAAGCACATTCTAGTTCAGCACCGAGGACAGCTCTAGGCACGACCTTCCTGGCCCACCACCCACCCTTTGGAGTGTGGGGAGAGAGTACCACCCAACTCAACAGGCCAGGCATGCCCAGTGGAGACCCTTGGCATGTGTGCCAGGCCCAGGCAACACTGGGCAGGAGGAGGCAGCCCGCAGACCAGAATGGAGTCAGAGGAGGCCTTGTCTGCAGGGTGAGAGCCACCCATTATCGGGTGAGGAGCCCCATGCCAGCAGCCTTGGCTTTGGCTTTCTGGTGAGGTCTCCCCAGCACCTTAGCTGATCTGAAACTGAGGGGTGAAAAGGAAACAGAAGCTGGCCTGGGGCACTTGGAAGGAAATGCAGAAGCTGAAACCAAATGTAGAACAGAAAGCCTGAAACCCAGCTATTTCCACGGGCTGAGGAACCAGGCACCAGGGTGCCAGACAGGGGTGGAAGAGCCCATGGGGAGCCGTGAGGACTGGTTTCCAATCGTCTCTCTACCACCCAACAGCTGAGGGACTCGGGGCGGACATGTTTACCCTCTGGACCTGCTTCTCCTTAACTCAAATGAGGAGGGGCAGTTTAGGGTGAGGTCTCAGGAGCCAGCATGCCTGATCTGGATCCCATCTTTGTCACCCCTAGCTTTGTCACTAATGCTCTCTGTACCTCAGTTTTTTTAACTGCAAAACCAGGGTCATGAAAACCTTTCTCAGAGTTTTGGAGACTTTGTACATGTCTGGTCTCTCCATCTACCAGCCTGTTTGTCTCATTGCAAGCCTTTCCATACCAGAGAGAATGGGTATAGCCCAAATCGTGGGATATATTCAGTGAGGGTGGCCTCTTTTATCTAAAGAATTTAACTAGCCCCTGGACCTTGTAGTAGGATAAACACACACAAAGCTACCCTTCAAGAGGGCATTCCTGGAGGAACAAGGAAACTGCTTCCAGACTGCCTTTCCCCTGCCACCGGAGATGTAGAGGGCACGGTTCCCGTGGAAAAGCCCCAGCTTCAGCAGCTCTGCCCTCCCTGTAGAATGTTCCATGGCTCCCACTTTCTCTCCATATATAAGTTACTCAGATTTCAGGGCCTTTCCTGCCACAGAGACTAAAAACAGAGGTGAGATGTACAGGTGAGGGTGATCTGGGGCCACTTAGAAAGCACTGCATACAGATGAGGGGTTCCTCACTGCATTTTAAAGAGGGAAGTATGTCGTTCTCCAGAAAACAAAACAAGTCTAAGCTGACTCATTCTGAAGACTGGAGTTCCCTCCAAGAAGATGCTGGGGAAGGAAGTGGATGTTTTACTTAGCAAATTCCTTCTTAGTGCAGGGGCCACTTCATACCTGTGATTTGCATTAATCACCCATAATCCTCACCAGGGAAGTGCTATCCTTCTTCCTATTTTATAGCCAGGAAACCCTCAAATCTGTTTTGTTCACCTCAGGACTCCAGGTGCAGCATCCAGAGTGTGCAAGCTGGAGATCGAACATCACTGCCCTGGGGGCAGGGCTCCCCCACCTGCAGAGCCATGGAAGGAGCCCAACCATGGGGAGACCCTGCAGAGGTCCGAGCCCAGGATGGTTAGCAGGCGGTACCTGAGCTCCCTGAAGAACAAGCTGTCCAGTGGGGCCTGGAGGAAATCTTGCCAGCCTGGGACCCACGCTGGGCTAGGGACACAGGTGCCTGAAGGCTAGAGCAAAAGTGGGGAGCTGGGGGGACCCCTTCACCGACCTCCCAGAAAATTCTCTCCCAGCCAAAGCCAGCACTTCCCTAGGCAGGGGTCTTGTGTCACCAGAGATCAACTGACAGCTAGATTCTCTCCTCTTAATGGCCTTTGGTTAATGCCTACAGCGCACCCCACTGTTGGCATCATTTCCTGTGCCCCTCGCTGAGGGAGTCTTTTAGGCAAGGACATGAAAACTCAGACAGCTTAAAGAACTTGTCTGAGGCCACGCAGCTTAGAAGGGTCTCTATTTTGTGAACCGGTACCCTTCCCGGGTGTGGCCTCAGTTTAGCCACCGAAGAAGGCAATAATTCCAACTAGAAATAGAGGCTAGTGCTAATGCTGCCGTTAGACTGATCCTGGACGGGTCACCTGCCCAGTCTGGGTGTCGGTTTGATTGTCTGTGGAGTTCAAGGGCTAGGGTGCATGACCCTGTACACCCTGGAGCCAGACCACCAGGGGTCATGCCCCAGCTCTTCTGCTTTCTAACTGTGTGACCTTGGGCAAAGCACTTGTAAAGTGCCTCTTTGTGCCATTCCCTCATTTATAAAATGGGGAGGGTGATCATGTGGTGGCTGAGTACAATTTATTATTTCTCACAAATCTCTGGGTTGACTAGAATGCTCCCTGATGGTTCTTCTATTGATCTCACTTGGGGCTTGTGTTAGCTAGCTTGGGGCTGCCATGACAAAATGCTACAAACTGGGCGATTTACTGGAAATAGATTTCCTTACGATTCTGGAGACTGGAAGTCCAAGATCAAGGTGCTGGCAGGGTGGGTGTTTGGTGAAGCCTCTTGTCCTGGCTTATCAATGGCTTTTGTCTCACTGTGTCCTCATGCACATACTCTCCTGGGGTCTGTCCCTACTCTTCTAAGGACACCAGTCCTGTTGGATGAGGACCTCACCCTTATGACTTCATTTAACCGTAATTATCACCTCCAAGGCCCTATGTCCAAATATAGTCGTATTGGGGCTTTAGACCTTCAACGTATGGATTTGGGGAGGAGGACACAAGTCAGCCCATGATAGAGTTTCTCCCATGACTGCAGTCAGATGGTGACCAGTGCTGGAATGCCCGAGACAGCTCAGTTCTCAAGGCCGGTGCCTGGGCAGGGACAGTAGAAGCTGGGTTCAGCTGGGGTGCCGGCACAGCTGGGCCCTTGGCTCTCTCTCTCTGAATGAGGTCTTTGGACCTCTCCTTCTGACATGGCCTCTCCATCAGGGCAGCCAAATTTCCAGATGCGGTGGTTCCTGGCTCCCAAGAGAGCATAAGCTTCCAACAAGCTTCCAGACCTTTTAGGCCTTTGGACCAGTTCTGGCACAGCCCCACTTCCTACCCTACTCTTTGTTAAAGCGATCCCAGCGCCAGCCTAGATGCACTGTGGGAGGGCATGAGTGCTGGGAAGTAGGCGTTCACTGGGACGTCTTTGGAGACTACACCCAGGGTCCCCATCAGAGGAGACCAAAGCTGTCTCTCTCCTTCTCCTTCTCCCCCTTGACCCGCCTGCAGGAGCCGGAGGAAAAGAGGATCGTCCAGGAGCTCCTGGAGACAGAGAAGGCCTACGTGGCCCGCCTCCATCTGCTAGACCAGGTCAGGGGCCAGAATACCGCCCTGTCCTGCTCTGAGCCCCAGCACCCAGTTCTCCTCTCCCCACCTTCACTCTCCCTTATGTGTACCTCACTGGCGCTGTTAGGACCTGGCATGTGATTCGAGGAAGTCTCAGTCTTTCACCCCCACTGGCTGGAGTTGGGGCAGAAATGAGGATTTAGGGAACTGATGCCACCTGCCGTTCCAGCCCTGGTGCCCAGGCCGGCACCTCGCATATAGCAGAGTGCACGTGGCCTTCCCCGCCATGCAGAGAGTCCTCATCTATCACCCCCACACCCAACATCCTCACTGTTCCTAGACTTCACACATTCTTAAGAAGCCCCAAGCCTGAGGGTTAAATATTTGTGCATTTGGAGCATGATCCTTAGCTTGGTGAAGTCCAAGACCTTGACCGACACGAGGTGGGCCCATTTCTGACATTCATCAGCTGTCAGCCCCCGACTAAGTCCCTGAGCCTCTAGGCCTTCGTTTGCCTGTCTCTTCCTGAGGCTGTTTCGAGGATGATGGGAGGCTGAAGAGGTGAAAGCATCCCCCAGACCACAGAAGGGCCCGGAAAGCCCCCAGGCTGTGCCTGTCTCTGCCTGGGCTGGTGTGCGGGGGGCTCTTCTCGGCCATGGACCGAGTGACCGGCAGGCGCGGCTGCAGGTGTTCTTCCAGGAGCTGCTGAGGGAGGCCCGTGCCAGCAAGGCCTTCCCCGAGGACGTGGTCAGGCTCATCTTCTCCAACATCTCCTCCATCTACCAGTTCCATGCACAGTTCTTCCTCCCGGAGCTGCAGCGGCGGCTGGATGACTGGTGAGAGGTCCTCTGTGAACACCCGAGCCCCCATGGCCACAGCCAAGGCCGGGACAGGGTGCAGACCCCTGCGGCACTGGCTTTGGCCTCTTCGGACCCCTGCTGTGTGTCCATGATGGTCTCCTCCCCTGGGCTCAGTCTGTGCTCACAGTAAGGGGCTTGGACACGTGGGTGCTAAGGGGCTGTGTGTGTGTGTGTGTGTGTGTGTGTGTGTGTGTGTGTGTCTGTCCTGGGGAAGGAGGTGTGTCGGTCCCCAGCAGGCTGAGGGACTTCAGAGCCAGTGGAAAGAGGCAGTGCTAACTGAGGGCTTCTGGCATGCTCTGCCTTGGGTTTCACACTTATGAACTCACTGATTCTTCAAACCCATCTCCTGTGTGGTGATACAAGGAACTGTCTTCATTTTCAGAGACGACCACTGAAGCATTTGGTGGGGGAATTACTTGCTTTATATATTTTGCTAAAGAAATGCCATGAGGACTGGGGTGTCCTTTAAAATTCTTCAGCAAAGAGAAATGTCCATAGTTGTTAAATTCAGGGTCAGATATATAGGGTCTCATTATTATATTCTTTTTCCTTCATGATGGCTTAAAGTTTTTTGCAATAAAATGTGGGTTGGTTTTTGTTATTTTTATTTAATTTTGAAGATTTTTAAAAAAGATTTTATTTATTTGAGAGACAGAGAGAGTGAGTAGGAGGGAGAGGGAGGGAGAATCTGAAGCAGACTCCACTCTGAGCTCAGAGCCAGACAAAGGGCTCGATCCCATGACCCTGAGATCATGACCTGAGCTGAAACCAGGAGTCAGACACTTGACCAAATTCACCACCTAGACACCCCTGGGTGTTTTGTTGTTGTTATTGTTTTAAAGATGACCCTATGCCTACCACCATTCCTGTTTTTTTCCAATGGGAGAATGGAGATACAGAGAGGTTAGGTGACTTGTCCAAAAATACACAGCTAGAGTAAGTGGAACAGTTGGGAATCAAACTCAGGAAGGCCAGCTTTAGGGACCGTCAGGCACTTCGTCGCTCTGCTGTCACAGCCCCTGGGCTGACCTTCAGGCCCTACCACGATATGACCCTGGATACGTTCTTACCCCTCTGGGGCTGTTCCGTCATCTCTAAGATGGGCCAATGACCACTCCCCACAGAGGTGTGAGAATTAAATGGGGTGAGACCCATGGCGTGTCTTGGATGGTGCTTGGCTTCTGGCCCTTGCTGCCATTACGTCGGCTGCCTCAAGTGGTTTCGGGATGTGCGGTGGGGGCCCGATGCTATGCTGGGCCTGCGGGTGGAAGAGAACAGCATCTGCCCTCAGGGCTCAGAGTCTGAGGGCTGGATCCCACACATGTGGGTGAGGGTGATGAGCTCCCATGCCTGTACCCAGAAGTGCAGTGGAAGGACTGTTTTTGGGAGTTATGTGCTTCAGAGAGCCTGGCCTAACCTGACCCTGCCTGAAGTCGAGAGAGGAGGTCCTCGGGCTGAAGGCAGTATGGGTGGCCCTCTTCCAGGACAGCTACCCCCCGCATCGGTGACGTCATCCAGAAACTGGCCCCATTCCTGAAGATGTACAGTGAGTATGTCAAAAACTTTGAGCGAGCGGCTGAGCTGCTGGCCAGCTGGACTGACAAGTCTGCCCCCTTCCAGGAGGTGATCACCCGCATTCAGGTGAGGCTGGGCAAGGGCTGGGGCCAAGACTGCACCACCACCCTGGTGGGTACTGGCTCAGATTCCCCAAGGGATCTGGAGCACCTCCCGCTCAGCTGCTTGCACCACCGGCTTCCCACGCCAGTCTGCCCCACCAACTTCCCCCCCGCCCCCGACCATCTCAGCAGCCCGCTCTGCCGTTCCCCACTCTCAACCCACACTGTTCCTCCTCCCATCCCTCCCCAAGAGCAGCGAGGCCTCCGGCAGCCTGACTCTGCAGCACCACATGCTAGAACCTGTGCAGAGAATCCCACGCTATGAGCTGCTGCTCAAGGAGTACGTCCAGAAGCTGCCAGCCCAGGCTCCAGACCGGGCCGATGCTCAGAGTGAGGACACCACCCCCTGGAATCCATGGGGCTAGGGAGGCCTGAGCCACTCCCCTTTATTGACTGAGCACCCCATCAGCTATCAACATTGATTGTTGGTACTTCCTAGACATTATCTATACCATTAGCCATTTTTTATAGCCACTAAGGCCCAGAGAGATCAAGCAACTTGCCCAAGGTCACACAGCCAGAAAGGAGCAGAGTTGGGATTTGAAGCTATGCCTATATTATCAAACCCCGTGCTCTTTCCACAGCACCCTCTGGGTCTGGCTTGGTTTGGGGAGGAATGAGTTGGTCACAGAAGCCCAGTGCCTAAGCCCTATCTTTCAGTGGCTTCCAGTCTCTCCACTCTGGGTGAGAAATGGCCCCCATCACACAGTCATCCCGTGTGCTGGCCAGGCTTCTCCTACATACTCATAGCAGACTCTCGGGCCTCTTTGTTAAGACTTAAGGACTTTCTGCCTCAGCCCCCAGCCCCACATTTTCAGGAGATAATTCTGGCTCTGTGCCCTCCTTCAGAAGCACTGGACATGATCTTCTTGGCCGCTCAGCACTCCAACGCAGCCATCACTGAGATGGTGAGCAGCTGGCCCTCAGGGGTGGGACCAGCAGGCATCCCCAGGGGCCCTGTACTTCCTCCCTGCAGCTCTCAGCCATACCCACCCCAGCCGTCTAGGTCTCTATCCACTCATCCCCTCAGCCTCTGCTGTCCTCCCCCTCAACTCCCGTCCCTGTCCACATAAGACAAACCTTCCAGAATCAGGTGGGCCCTGCCGGGCCTTGGCTGAGGGCGCTCCCCCTGTCCCAGGAGCGGCTGCAGGACCTGTGGGACGTGTACCAGCGCCTGGGCCTCGAGGATGACATAGTGGACCCCTCCAACACCCTGCTCCGCGAAGGTCCCGTCCTCAAAATCTCCTTCCGCCGCAGTGACCCCATGGAGCGCTACCTTTTCTTGGTACAAGGACGCTAAGTGGCCCTCTCCCCCTGCCCTAGAGAGGGCGGTCCAGGGGCCACGCCCACCAGGTCCTGCCTGCCTCGTGTCTGCCTGGCACTGCGGGAGAGGCAGGGAAGAGCCTGCTTCTCTGTGCGTTATTGCTTTGGCACCCAGTGACTTTAGAGAAGTCACAGGCTAGGCCTCAGGATTTCCAACGAGGGGTTTCTCAGGTAGGCCCTAGGAAGCAACAGAGGCAGAATTGGAACCCAGTCTGTTTGGCTCCAAACCTTGCGGTATTAAACTGCTCTAGGAACTTTAAACATTAAACTTGCTCTAGGAACGCAAAGCAGGAGAGAATCAGGTTAGCTGGTAAGAACTACCCAGATTGGCACTCATGAAGCCCGGGGGTTCTCCTGGAGATCTGGCAACTGGTCCTCCCTGGAGGTCTGGAGGAGGGAGCTGTAATGTCCCATGAGCCCCTGCAGCCCTGAGTCCCCATGAGAAAGGCCTTGTAAGTCTGAGGCCCACAGACAGGGCGACTCTTGAGTGACCATCCTCATCAGATTGGAGGCCAGATAGACAGCCCGTTCCTCATCACACCTGCGACTCCTGGGAGCTGACCTGGAGCCTGGCAAGAGGAGAGGGAGGCGCAGGGGTGCTCCAGCTCTTCCTCCCCGTCCTTCCTGCCCTGCCACTACCCACTCCCTCACCATTCTTTGTCTCCGGCAGTTCAACAACATGCTGCTCTACTGTATACCCAAGGTCATCCAGGTGGGCGCCCAGTTCCAGGTGAGGACCCGCATCGACGTGGCCGGAATGAAGGTGAGAGGCACCCCGTCCCCTGACAGCGCCAGGCTTCTTCCTGAGGCTGGGATCGAGTATGGGGAATAGCAGCAGGGTCGGCCGGGTTCTCAACCTAGGAACCCAAATCTGGAGATCCTGGGCTAACATGGTGGGAACGTTTTGGGGCAGGAGCTCTCCCCTGTGGGGGCGCACAGGCCTGGCCCACTCTTTGGGACAGTGCCCTCCCTGGCCTGACCTCTCTCTGCTTTCCCTATCCACTGCCCCAGAGCTCTAACAACTTTAATATGTGCATGAGGCCCTGGGAGTCTTGCGAAAATGCAGGTCCTGATGCAGTTGGTCCGGGGAAGGACCTGAGACTCTGCATTGCTAACCAGCTCCCAGAGCTGCTACCGCTGCAGGCCACAGGCCACACTTGGAGCAGTAAAGGTCTACATGGTCAGCTCCACCGCTGGACTGTGTGTGTCCCCAGCCAGAGATGGCCACAAATGCGTGGGGACAGCAGCCCATAAATAGTGTCCACTGACTGGCTGGTCCCTGTGGATTGGGCCCTGCATCACCCCATCAGACTCTCATGTATCCCTATAGTGGAGGAGTTGTTATTTTCCTTTGCCTGTTTCTTTTAAAAATAACACTTTTTTACTTTAAAGCATAGATAATACACATCCCCAAATCAAATATAAAAAGTGCATTCAATGAGAAGTCTCCTCCCCACTCTAACTCCTAGTTCTCTTCCAGGAGACAGACTTTTTGCTTCTTCGAAGGCCTTCTGGAGGTAGTCTTTGCAGACACCAACAAATAATATATTTTTTATTGCTTCTTTACTTACGTTTCGCATTAACAGTGAAACCATTTTCCAGAGACACTGTTCTCCACTCTGCTTTTTTCACTAAGTGCTAAGTTCACTAAGTTCACTCCAGGCTAAGTCTGGTGATTGTTCACGTCAGGACATTAAGAGTGGCCTCACTCTTCGGTGGGTAGCTGTAGGGTGTTGCCGTCTGTGCAAAGTACTGTAACCCATTCAGCTAGCCCGCTACTGAGGGACAGCTAGTCGTTCCCTGTGAATAACTACAGAGGAATAACCAGGTACATGCCTGCGTGTGAGTCTATCTGTAGTTAGTCCCATCAAAAAAAAAAAAATCCGGAAATAAACTGTGGCACATCTAGACAATGGAATATTGTTCGGTGATACAGAGAAATGAGCTACCTAGCCATGGAAAGTCAGGCGGGAAACTTCAGTCAGTGCATTTTGCTAAGTGAAAGAAGCCAATTTGAAAAAGGCTACACGCAGTGTGGTTCCAGCTGTCGGACACTCTGGAAAGGGCAAAACTATGGAGACCGTAAAAAGCTCGGTGGTTTCCAGGGGTTAGTGGGGAGGGAGGGACATGCAGTTCGGGGGATTTTAAGCGCGGCGAAGCTGTCTCTTGCTTCACTGGAGTGATATTTGGCCAAACCCCCAGAATGTACAACACCAAGAGTGAATCCTAATGGGAACTGCGGACTCTGGGCGATCATGACATGTCCATGGAGGTTCATCAGTCCTCACACATGTCCCCCTCTGGTGGGGGATGTTGATAATGGAGAGGTTCTGAGTGTGTAGGGGAGCGGGAGGGTATATGGGAAATCTCTGTATCTTCCTCTCCATTTTGCTGTGAACCTAAAATTGATCTAAAAAAATTAAGTCTTTTTTTTTTTATTAGTTTCAGGGTAGAATTTAGTGATTCATCAGTTGCATATAACACCCAGTGCTCATTCCATCAAGTGTCCTCCTTAATGCCCATCCCCCAGTTACCCCATCCCCCACCCACTTCTCCAGCAACCCTCAGTTTGTTCCCTATAGGTAAGAGTCTCGTACAGCTTGTCTCTCCCTCTGTTTTCATCTTATTTTATTTTTCCTTCTCTTCCCCTATGTTCATCTATTTTGTTTCTTAAATTTCACATGAGTGAAATCATATATTTGCTCTTTTCTGACTGACTTATTTCGCTTAGTATAATACCCTCTAGCTCCATCCCTGTCGTTGCAAATGGCAAAATTTCATTCTTTTCCATGGCTGAGTAATATTTCAATATTATATATATATTCAATATATGTTTTATATATATATATATATCTATATATATATCTATCTCACATCTTCTTTATCCATTCATCTGTCGATGGACATCTGGACTCTTTCCATAGTGTGGCTATTGTGGACATTGCTGCTATAAACATCCGGGTGCAGGTGCCCCTTTGAATCACTATGTTTGTATCCTTTGGATAAATACCCAGTAGTGCAATTGCTGGGTCATAGGGTAGAATGATCTCTAACTTTTTGAGGAAGCTCCCTACTATTTTCCAGAGTGGCTGCCCTGATTTGCATTCCCACCAACAGTGTAAGAGTGTTCCCCTAAAAGTCTTTTGAAAGGAAACCGAGGCCCAGAAAGGTTATAATTTGCTTGGGGTCACACAGCAAATCTTGGTTTGAGCAATCATACCAGGTAAAACAGAGTCCAGAGTCCCTGGACCTAATCACCCTACTGGACTGTCTCCTCTTTAGGCTTCAGCTCAGAGGCGCAAAGCTTATGCAGAATTGCAGGCATAGTCGAGTAAGTCAGGGTGGGGGGGAACTTTCTTGACAACTTTCTGATCTCTCCTGAGCTCCAGGGTGTCCTGAAGGCTGGGGCTGGGAGAAGCGGAGGTCAAGTCCAGCTGATCTTGGTATGCTTCCATTTCTCCCATCCTGTCTCCCTGTCACTGCCCGCCCCCCCAGGATCTGCCTCAGGAGGGAGGTGCAGGTAGGAGTTGAGCCAGGACCCTCAGTCCTCTGGAGGACCCCTGGGCCTCTGAGAGCCCTCAGCAGGGAGGACCTTGTCTTGCTCCTGACTGGGCTTACATGGCATTTGGGGCCCAATCAAGGGCCCGAAAGTGGGGTGCAACTTGAGCATGATGAAGTCCAATGGGGGGACCTGGGCTCCCGTGGGGATTCTAGCCTCCTCCCCATACCTGAGCTGCCTGTAGTCTTTTACAATTGTAGCCCTTCACCCCGTGGCATCCAACTGCCCTTCCTGAGTGGTCAGAATGTCCCAGCTGCGAGGGTGTGTGCAGGCTTGTAGGTCTGGGAGCCTTGGTGAGTGAGACTGAGAAAGGCAGGTTTATGGAGAGCAACAGACAGACAGAAATGGAGATAGGCAGCCCTGTCTTAGGGCTGGCAGAGACCCAGGTGTAGAAAAAGAGAGGCGGAGATTGACAGAAAAGCCAAGAAATAGAGAGATCAACACAGAGTCCTAAAGAGAAAATACACGGAGACAAGACCGAGAGCATCCGTGCGTGCCGAGTTCCTGGCTCCTGCCAATCCCAGTGAGCACATTTCCTGCACAGAGTGTCGAATGCTCCAGCAGCTGCCCGGCACCTTCTCCTGAAGGGCCCAGGCTGGGCCAGGGCAGAGCTTTCTACCTGCCCGCCATCTGCATGGGACCCATTTCCCAAGTCTGCAGTCTGAAGGTAGGTCTGGCCTTTGACCACCATGACGGTTCCCACTGGCCTATGACCCTCTGGTCTCCTCCTTTCTGGATAGCAAGGAGGCCTAGTTCTCAGGAGCTGATTCTCCCAAGGTCCAAGTCGGTCCTAATGTTGTGCCATCCTGCACAAGGCCAGCCTGGGAAGAAGGAAGGGATGCAGGCACATACACACCTAGAGTCTCCATGTACAACTGTGTAGGTTGGGCTCTGCACAAGCACATCTCATATAGGATGAGCACATCTCATCCAAGCAGACATTGTGGACTGTTTACTTAAAATTCTCATTGTCCGGCAGATGGCAGTCAAGTGTCTCGTTCCAGCAAAATCTGAATATTATGCAGTTTGCCAACAGATGTCAGTAAAGTGTTTTGAAGAAGGGGTGTCTCTTTCTAATTAGCACAAAGGCACTGTATGGGTTAGCAGGGCCCTGAATGGGCCCAGACGTGGAGAGTGGTCGAGACTGGGCACAGAAGACCCTGGAAATATCCTCTAGAAGCTTTCATCCTGCCCTTCTAAAGAGGGGGGTTCTGGCTCCTCTGGTTCCCCTTCTTCTTTTCTTTCTTTCTTTCTTTTTTAAATACTTTATTTATTTATTTGAGGGAGAGACACACACAGCAAGAGAGGGAACACAAGCAGTGATAGTGCAAGAGGAAGAAGGGGGCTTCCCACCCAGCAGGGAGCCTGATAAGGGGGCTCAATCCCAGGACCTGAGCAGAAGGCAGAGGTTTACTGACTGAGCCACCCAGGGGCCCCTGGTTCCCCCTTTTCTATTAAAAGCGTCATATTTCTTTTTATCTCTGGGCTCCAAACCATAGATTTCTCTTTTCTTTCCCTCCCCCCTTTCCCTCACCAATTAGTTGTGGAGTCTTGCCAGCTTTCCCCATATCGTCCCCCAGAGAGAAAGCTTCTTGCTTCCCAGGTGCAGGGTGGTCTGTTCCCCCCAGATCCAGCCCTTCTCTGCCCCTTGCACACAGCCGCTAGAGTGACTTTCCCAAACACCTCTTTCTACATCACAGGAGCTTCTCCACGTATCAACCCTCAGAGCCTCCCCATTACCATGGATTCAAGTCCAAATCACATCAGGCACCTTCTAGAGGGAACAGACCAACTCTGTGGCCCAAAGGGTAGAGCAGCCCTAACATGAGGAAGGACATACCCAGAGTCAGTTTTCCTGGGACACCGTGGGCTGGCCTGAGGGTGTGCAAAGGCCTGGTCGCCACAGGGCAGGGAGCCAGCAGAAAGCCTCAGGTAACAGGTAGAACAACAAGGTTCCCCACACCAGAACTCTTGTCTACGTCTTAGTTTCCCCCTGTGACTCTCCACTCTGGGAGAGGTCTACGTTTACGGGACTCTGGGGTGGTGTGGAAATAGATGTTCTTCCGCCTTCCCCTGGGAGGCCAAAACCCTGAATTCAAACCCTCATTCTGTCCTTTAGCTGCTGTGTGAGCTCAGGCGGGTCTCTTGCCCTCTCTGAACCTCCATCTCTACATCTCCTAAATGAGGGTGGTAGCATCTCTCTCCCAAGATTACTGTGAAGATTTTCTTTAACTTTTTATTATGGACAGTTTAGAGCCAAGAAAGTAGCTCAAATAACTTGTGTACACTCATCACCTGATTTCAGCTGTTGTCAACTCAAAGCCGGTCTTGTTTCCCCAACGTCCCCCTCCTATTCCTCTTTCCACTGGATTATTTAAGAGCAAAGCTCAGACCCATAATCATTTCACCTATAAATACTTCAGTATGTGTCTGAACGAGATAAGAACTTTTTTTTTTTGCTATAAAAGGTGACAACAGGACCATTATCACATCTAGCAAATTAATACTAATTATTTAATAATACTAAGATCCTTTGGTTTTCTTTGACGTGTAAATGCCTTCTCACAGTTGATGTGTTTGAATCATTTGGGATGTGTTTCTGACATCCCTTCTAATCCATTACACATCCCCTCCTTCTTCTTTTTTCTCATGTTTTAATTGAAACAATCAGCTCATTCTCTGGGAGCATTTCTCACGGACTGGATTTTGCTGACTGCACCCCTCAGGTGTCACTCAACATGTCCCATGGCCCCCTACATTTCTTGTAAACTGGCAGCTAGCCTAGAGGCCTGACCAGATTCGAGTATGTGAGACCGTGGCTGGCTGCCACTGCCCTCAGGAGGAGTGTCTCAGCTAAGAATTAGGGTTGATTGGCGGGTTCAGCAGTACGTGTTACATGAGAACATGTATGGGGAGCCCTGAGCTCAGTGGCTGGCACATAGTAAGCATTTCTCACCGGCAGACTTCATGATGGCCATGGACTTGGGGTTCTCAGACAGGGGAACGGTGAAAGACAGGAAGTGGGGGAAGATGTCTGTCAGATCTCTGGATTGGGCAACAAATTTCTTCCTTCACTGTATGGGATGAAGAGTCTTATTCTAGGCCTTAGGTCTGCTCTTGAAAAAGCTGTGTCCCCAAACCCAATTTATGACCCAATTTCCATCTTTGGTGAATCCTTTGTCGGAAACTGTCACTCCTACCTCACACAGAGTCAACTTAGCTGCCACTGAAATTCTAGGAGCCTTGACATCCTGTTTGCTCAGGTGCATTTACTTGGCTCCGCAGATTTTGGGAGGCCATGGAGAAGGTCCTCATACCTGTTCCTCAAATTCGAATTGTTCCTTGGGCGCGATCCACCTCCATCCACCCCACGGTGCCTAGAGGGACGGGGTGTGACAAGTCTGAACAAGTCATCTCCCTCTCATTCCCGAGCAGGTGCGGGAGCTGACTGATGCGGAGTTCCCCCACTCCTTCCTGGTGTCAGGGAAGCAGCGCACTCTGGAGCTGCAAGCCCGGTAGGCATGGAGCTGGGGGCTGGGCCAGGCGGGAAAACCGGGAGTGGCTGCTCTCCTCAACACCTGTGTTCACTTTCCGAGCAGGTCCCAGGAGGAAATGATTTCCTGGATACAGGTACCAGAACATTCCAAGGCCCCTGGGGTTCTGAACCCAGCCTACCCACCCAGGCCAGGGGTGGGGGGAGGGGGTGTGTGCACGCGTGTGTGCACGTGCATGTGCGTGCACACATGCCCAGCTACTCCCTGTGCTTCCTCAGGAGTCGCTCTGTGTTAGTTTGGAATGAGACCTGGGTTGAAATCTTGCTGCCTTTCGCTGACTAGCTGGGTGGCCTTGGGCAGGTCACATAATGTCCTTGAGGCTCAGTTTTCCCATCTGTAATCTGGGGCTGTTTCTCCTCCCTTGAGTCAGCTGGGTGTGTTTAGAACCCGGCACCCAGCACTCAGAGGCTTCCAGCAGTGTCTGTTGACTGAATGGGTGGATGGACAGATGAGCGAGCCCTCCCTGCCACTTCCTAACCGCTTCCCGTGTCCCCTTAGGCCTGCCAAGCGGCCATTGACCAGATCGAGAAGCGGAATGAAACCTTCAAGGCTGCGGTCCAGGGCCCTGAGGGAGACACCCAGGAGCAGGAAGTAAATGAAGCCTTTGCCTCCCTTGAGGGAGCCACCAGCCTCACACAGGCGCATTCCCTCTCTTGGCTCTGCACAACCCAGCCTGGAGGGCGGGGGAGTGTCACCCACTGGGACTGACTTAAAGGGACCCACTAAAGCCCACCCACCCCCACATCAGAGACTCAGTGCCAAAGGTTCTCCCATTAGCAAAAATTTCCTTTGGGAGACTCTCTATGCAATCCTCCCTAGGAAGGATTTCATGTCTGTGTAGCTCAGGCTGTTGGGGGGAGGCAGGTTGGGGATGAAAGTGCCCATGAAGCATTAAGGCCAAGGGAAGGTGGGAGGCAGGTGGGGTGGGAGAGGGAGAGTGTCCGGGACTTGACTTCCACTCTGAGCTCCGAACTCTGGCTTGCTGGGTGTCTTTGCTGAGTCCCTTGACATCTCTGGGCTCAGCTTCCTCACCTGTGCAAAGGGAGTCATATTAACTGATCCGTAGTATAGTCCTTGCCGGTTAGGTCGGCTTCGAGCCGAAGCCCCCGGGAAGCAGGTGGACAGAAGGCCCCTGGGCCCCCGGGCAGGGCCAGAAGGGGGTCCTGAAGCCCTCACCCGACTGCCCAGCAGCTGCAGTCCGAGGAGCTGGGCCTCCGAGCACCACAGTGGGTCCGGGACAAGATGGTGACCATGTGCATGCGTTGCCGGGAGCCCTTCAACGCCCTGACGCGCCGCCGGCACCACTGCCGCGCCTGTGGCTACGTGAGTAGTCCCGCCAGCACCTGTCCCCTCACCTGTTCCTCGTCTGCCTCCACCCTCCCAGCTCGGGGCCCCTCCGGTCTCCCCACCAACTCTGCTGACCTGAACCCATGCCACCCAGGGGCGCTGGGTGCTAACTCGGGCCCGGATATGTGAGTGGCCTTATTCGGATCTTACAATGTCCCCCTGCGACCCAGCGGCTTCTGTGATCTCCGTTCATGGGGATGAGGCTCACAGGGCTTAGACGAGGTGCTCAAGAAACCCTGAGAAGTGGCCTTGTGCGTTCACCTGTTCTTACCACTGCTTCCTGAGAGCCCCAGACCCAGCCCGGGGAGGTGATCTCTCAGTCCAGGTGGGACGTGCACCCAGCACCCCAGCAGCCCCATGCCCATCCTCCCGTCTTCCTGTGCGACCTTGGCTCTCGGGCCCCTCCTCTCTGGGAAGTCCTTGGCCCTCCAGCACCTGCTCAGTTCTTCGGCTAACTGTGCCTCAGTTTCCTCGCCTGGGCGGTAGGGATTATAATAACTACCTTCAGGGTGGTAGTAGGCTCCTCCTTTCCTTCCTCAACAGTTTCGGGTGGGGCTCGCTCAGAGCAGCAGTCACCAGCTGATTGAGGAAGGAACCTGTCCCCTCCTCGTATCAGCTCAGGCCCGGTTACTCGAGGCAGATCCTGCGTTGCTTTTCAAGCACCCGCTGCACTTGGGCTGTTCTCTGTGGACCCGACAACCCCCTCGGTTTACTCTGCAAACAGAGAAGCCCTTTACGGCCTCAGTCTTTAATGACCTCCAGGAGACAGGAGACCAGCTGGGCAGGTTGGGGCCACTCAGGGAGGTGTCCCCAAAATGCACTGCATGGCAGTTGGGGCACAGAGTAAATTCCAAGGACTGGGAACACACCTGTGTTCAGACGAAAGTGAGGCGTTCTATCAGAGCCAAATAGAAAGGATCCGGGGATTAGCCACTGTTCTTGGGTGATTCACGTCTGCAAATAAGGGTTGAGTCAATTCACGATTGCAACTTGGTAAGTAGTTCCTAAAACATTATTTAAAATAGTTAAGAAATACAAAGAGGTGCAAAGAGTAACAATACCTGTGACCTTCAAGGTACAGGGAGGAAATATAACATTTTGACAACTGAATGAAATGTATGATCCTTGATTGAATCATGGATGGGAAAAACAAAACCAGCCGCAGAGGCCCTTATTGGGAACTTCAGGGAAATTTTGATCACAAGCAGTAATCCTAGATGGATGTTAAATTTCCCAAGTATGACCATGACATAATGAACAGGCAGGAAAACGCCCTTGTTCTTACGTGACACCAGCTATTTATTTGAGGGTAGGGTACCACAATGACTGTGATTTATACTCAAATTGTTCAGAAAAAAAGTACATTGATATAGAGAGAGATAAAGCAAATGTGGCCAAAATTTAACAATCGGAGAGTTTGGTGGGGACAGTATCATTGCAGTGTTCTTTTGACTTGTCCGTAGGTTTGAAATTTTTCAGACTAAAAAGCTGGGGGAGGAGAAAATAAATATACACTAGCAAGATAAAAAATTTAAAGCTCAATAAAATGAAATATTCCCAAGGCAGTTAAAGCCCCCTGTGTGGGGCTCTGTGAGATACCCCTGGCCCAATTTCAGGATTTCTCATGCCTGCGCCGACCTTTGTATTCTGTGAGTCATCTTTTCAGTCATCTGGGTGCCCAGTTTCTGTCTCCCCACCTGCCAGACCGGAATCCTGGTGAGGGTGGGGCAGGCCAGGCCTTCTCCGGTGGGGCCCTCCCAGACCACGTGCTGTGTTGGCCACCCAGAGGAGCCCCCTCGTCTCTGTGTCTTGCCCCCCATATCCAACCCCACATCCTAGGCTCACAGTGACACCCCAGTCTCCCTGGAGGTTACAGCCTACACCCCCCCATGCTTCTCTCCTAGTCTTGCCAGGCCTCTTTCTCCTGGCTTCCTGGCATGATCTGGTCTGCCTGGGGGCTTTCTCCGCACTGGGCCAGCAGGGGGCGGGTGGGGGGCATTCCCCCCAATGCACATGACAGGTCTTCCTGGCAAAAACAACCCGCCCTTCATTTTTATATTAGAACACGCTTGACTCTAGGATTGCATGAATCTTAAAGCTAAACCATGGAACTTTAAATACCTGTCCTGTCCCAGGGAGGGCCAGCTGCTGCCTGTGAGCAAAGGGGCCCTAGGCAAGTCACTGCCCGCCTTGCTATCGGGGGAGGATGGAAGGGCCAGCGCTGTCCACCTGGTGGGGAGGCTGGGACAATCAGAGGAGATGGCAGAGGGGAGAGAGAGCTTGGAGAAGTGAATTAGAGGCAGGGGTGTGTGCAGGGAAGCCCCTGGGATTACTAGCCGTCCTCACAAAGGGAGAATCAAGACACACCCATGGGGGGGGGGGCGCAGCTGGGGGAAGCTCTTGAGCTCCCAGCTCGGGGAGCGCAGGGCCTGAGCTCTCCCCTGAAGCCATGGCCTCCAGGCTGGGCCTCTGCCAGCACAGGGGACCACCTGTCTCTGCCTCCATTCCTCTCCTGAAGTTTGCTTTGTCTTCCTCCTGTCCCCAGGGGCTCTCATGCCCCCCATCATCTCCCAGGCAACAGTGCCAAGGCACCAGTACAGCCCTCACCTGCCTCACCTCAGGCCCCAAGCCCCTCCTTCCCCCTCCTCCCCTAGGTGGTGTGCGCCAAGTGCTCCGACTACCGGGCTGAGCTCAAATATGATGGCAACAGGCCCAACCGAGTGTGCTTCCACTGCTACACCTTCCTCACTGGAAACGTGCTCCCCGAGGACAAAGAGGACAAGAAGCGGGGCATCCTAGAGGTGAGCGCAGAGGGCCTCCGCTCAGCAAGTGCTGGCCCTGTCCTTGGTGCTCAGGACCAAGCCAGCCAAGGTCGCACTTGCCATCCTTCTCTCTGCCTATGGTCCTGGGGAGGTGGGGAAAGACCCCCCATGCCTTCCAGCTGAACACAGCTTCTGAGGTTCACGGCTGTGCCCTTCCACGGACCTCTGCCCACTTTCCAGTCATCCCCATTCCCTGCTCATTCCTACCCCACCCAGGAGTCCACACAGCCCTCTCCCTGCTCAGGTCCCAGTTCTGTTCCCTGGGGCAACTCATAGGTGATTAGCCCTCCCAGCACTGCCCCAAGCTCAGGCTGGCTGGGGCTTGATCACAGCTCTGCCACCCACCAGCTACGTGACCACAGGGCCCTAACAGGACCTCTCTGAGGCTCAGGGACAAATGACCCCTCCTTGTAGGGTTGCTGCAAGGACTAGAAATGGTGATTGTCAAGCCCCCGGTCCAGTGTTTGACATAGGGTGGGTGCTGCATTCCCCGATAGCCTGACAGTCTCTCTCTCTCTCTCTCTCCCTCTCTCTCTCTCTGTTTTTTAGAAAGGGTCCACGACAGGGTCCCAGCAAAGCATCATGTGCGGCTTCCTGCAGCTGGTTGGGGACAAGTGGGGAAAGAGCGGGCCCCGGGGCTGGTGTGTGATCCCCCGGGACGACCCCCTCGTCCTCTATGTCTATGCTGCCCCTCAGGTAATGCCACCCCCTGCCTCCCAGACCTTGGCCTTCTCATGGTATGTGTGTGTATGGGGGGTATTGTTGGCCCCATATGCCAGAGGAGGAAACTGAGACCCAGGGAGGATGTGGTTCCCTCCAGCCAGAGGGTTAGTGGCTCTCAGAGCTGGGCCTAGATTCCAGGTCACAAAAGCTTTGCCCAGTGGGCAGCCAGCCCTCCTCCACCATGATGCCCTCCCACCAGTCCACCCTGCTTCCTGGGTATTTGGGGAGCAAGAGGTGGGTATGTGGCTTTTACCTTCAAATTGGCTGTCCGACGTGCTGGGGCTGAGCAGAAAGACAGTGGCCCATGGCTCTCTCCTCCCCTCCCAGGACATGCGGGCTCACACCTCCGTCCCCCTGCTGGGCTACCAGGTGACTTCGGGGACCCAGGCTGACCCTCGGGTCTTCCAGCTGCAACAGTCAGGCCAGCTTTACACCTTCAAGGCTGAAACTGAGTTGCTGAGGGACCGCTGGGTGAAGGCCATGGAGCGGGCGGCCAGTGGCTGGAGCCCAAGGGGGCCCAGTGATGGAGACCTGTCCGACTGACCCCCAGCCGACCACTCTCCCCTTCAGAGCCCGGCTCCTGCCTGGGGCTGACCCTGTGGTGTCTGTGATCCACTATTCCATGCTGAGCTTTCAAATAACCAATTTCCAGGGGCACCTGGCTGGCTCAGTCTGTAGAGCGTACAACTCTTGATCTTGGGGCCATAAGTTTGAGCCCTGCGTTGGGTATAGAGATTACTTTAAAAAAAAAAAAATGAACTTTAAGAAACAAACAACCGATTTCTAGTCATTGGTGCCCAGACGGTGTATCTTGATCTGGGATTCAGAAAATGTGGGTCTCTTCCTTTGGGGAGGGGGTGACCAAGTATCCCTGTTTGCCCAGGGCTGAGGGGTTTCCCGGGGTGTAGGACTTACAGTGCTAATACCTGGAAAGTCCCAGATAACCCAGGACTGTTGGTCACCAGTTCGGTTCGCCACTGGGCTGTACATTAGCATCACCTGGGAAGCTTCAAACAAAACAAAACAAAACAATGAAGGGGCACCTGGGTGGCTCAGTTGGTTAAGCGTCTGCCTTCAGCTCCGGTCATGATCCGGTCCTGGGATCAAGCCCCATATCAGGCTCCCTGCTCAGTGGGGAGTCTGCTTCTCCCTTTCCCTCTGCCCCTCCCTGCCCCACTCATGCATGCTCTCTCTCTGTCTCAGATATTAAAAAAAAAAAAAAAAACCACCTTAAAAAAAAGATTTTTAAAAACCCTGAAAATTTAAAAAATACCAATGCCCATATCCATTACAAAGATTGTGGATTTCATTGGTCTGGGGTGAGGGAAGCACGGAAATGCTTTAGGAGTACCATCCTGAGTCTCAGCTTGGACTACCCATATGAAGAAGAGAGCAAGCAAATTGGCAATGGTTGAGCACCTGTTGAGTGCCAGATGTGATAATAATCAGAATAATAAATAATAAACATCTACTGGGCCAGGCACTGCACTGGCTGTGAACTGGACTGTCTCATTTCACCCTCAGGAGTTACAATCCCCATTTTCCAGATGAGGACACTGAGTCCCAAAGAGGTTTAGTTATTGGCTCCAGGTCCTGCGGCTGGTGGGTGCCAGAGCCACGTCAAAGCTCTTTCCATCAGGCAAGCAGAGAAGGGAGGGGAGTGGAAAGAGGGAAAAGGTGGGAGGAGGAGGAGAGGGCAGGAACACGATTGTCCTGCCCTGGGCTCCCAGGCGAGGCTGCTTTTCCCAGAGGGACCACTAGGGAGTAGCAGTGATCCCAGCATGGGCCCTGACACCCTGAGCCCTTTCCATCAGGCCCGCCCACTGGGCTCTGCCCTTAAAGAAGGTAAAACACGGGGACCTCTGGGTGGCTCAGTGGATTAGGTGTTTGGCTCAAGTCATGATCTTAGGGTCCTGGGATCCGTCCGGCATCAGGCTCTGAGCTCAGGGAGCAGTCTGCTAACATTTCTCTTTTCCTCTGGCCCTCCCCATGCTCTCTCTCTCTCAAATAAATGAATAAATCTTAAAAAAAAAAAAAAAAAGGCAAAATGGATGAGCCATAGATCTTTGCTCCATTCCTGGCCCAACAGTTTGCCTGCGCCCAACCTGAAGCTACCTCCCCGCTGTAGGGTATTTTAAAAAGCCCAAGAAAACCTCATTGGCACAGTCTCTTTGGAACCAGCCCAGCCATGAGTTCGTTCTTTCATTCCACAAATATTTGTTGAGTGTCTTGATAGGAGCCAAATGCAATTCCTGTACTGTGGAGATAGCAGTGAATGAGACCGACGAAAATGTCTGCCTTCATGGAGTTTATATTCTTATACAACAAAATAAATACATCATCAGATGTGATGAGTGCTTAAATAGAGTGACAAATCATCCCAGACTTTCCTAGTTTTAAAACTGAAAGTTCTCAGGGATGCTTCCCTGGCTTAGTTTGTGGAGCATCCAACTCTTGATCTCAGGGTCGTGAGTTCAAGCCCCATGTTTAGGTGTAAATATCACTTAAATAAATAAAACTTAAACAAAACAAAACAAAACACTGAAAGTTCTCAGGTCCCAGGAAACGCCTTGGTTCCGGGCAAACCAGAATAGTTGGTCACCCTAGTGGAAGAAAAGAACAAGACAGAAAACAGAATGGGGGGTGTGTGTATGTGTCTATGTTTACGTTTGTGTGTTTAAAGGAAAATTAAGGAAGTCCTCACTGAGAAGATGTTTGAACAATAACCTAAATAACCTTTAGGAAAGGGGTGCCTGGGTGGCTCAGTGGGTTAAGCCTCTGCCTTTGGCTCAGGTCATCATCTCAGGGTCCTAGGATTGAGTCCCACATCGGGCTCTCTGCTCAGTGGGAAGCCTGCTTCCCCCTGTCTCTCTGCCTGCTTGTGATCTCTCTCTCTCTCTCTGTCAAATAAATAAATAAAATCTTTTTAAAAAAATAATAAAAAAATAAATAACCTTAGGAAAGAAGTAAGAAAGGAAGCCACACAGATACCAGAGGGAAGAGGGTTCTGGGAGGAGGGAACAGTAAGTGCAAAGGTCCTGAGGTGGAATCCTAGCTGGCACATGTAAAGAACCACGAGTGTGGCTGGAGCAGTATGGGCAGGAAAGAGATAAGAGAAGACATCAGATAATCGCTAAACTTGGGGTGAAGTCGGGGAAGACAGGTGTTGGCCCCGCTGAGGGCTGAGTGAGATGGAGAGTCACTGGGGTGGAGGGGGGCATCTGATTTGTTTTGACAGACTCCCTCCTGCTGCTTGTTGCATTAGAGCAAACGAGGTGAGGGTAGAAGCAGTTTTGAAGCTGTTGTGGCAATCCAGGTGAGAGAGGTGATGAGAAGGGACTGGATTCTGGACTTATTCTAAAGGTAGAGCAGAGATTCCCTTGCAGAGTGAACATAGCGAGACAGGAGGAAGGAATCAAAGGTGACACCAAGTGAGGCCTCTGACCTGAGAGCATGGAGGACAGAGCTGCTGCTGACCCAGATGAGGAAGCCCTGGGAGGGGCAGCTTGGGGAGCAGCAACACATTGGGTCTCTGCCTTGGACAAGTGACAGCTGAGGCGCCCGCTCACGGCCCTATCCGGTAAGTAGTTAGGCATCTGAGCCCCGGCACCTGGTCTGGGCTGGGGATGTAGACATGGGAGCTATCATCCCCGAGATGGGTTTCAACGCATGCATGAAACAGAAGGAGACCCGAGTACTGAGCCCTGCAAATCCCAAATTTTTTAACTGTGCACATGCCAGAATTCTGAACTTGCCCACCCCAGCATGGTAACCTCTTGACCCACAGTTACCAGTGTGACAAGACTCCTGGACATCATTTATAATAGTTCCCCAAGTTGAGAACTACATAAATATCCATCCAAATGAGGAGATCGAGGCCTGTAAACTTATACTCACACAGAGGGACTCATAGACAAATTGCTGAGTCCTCGCAGGGGGAACGGCACGGTGCTGGACGAGAAGGCTTGAATCTTAGTGTGCTGCCTTGGGAAGACGGCCGTGAGGTGTTCAGTGAGGAATAACAGCAGAAGGAGCTAACACTTCTTCTTCTTCTTTTTTTTTTTTTTTAGATTTTATTTATTTGAGAGAGAGATTGAGACCACATGTGGTGGGTAGGGGGGAGAAGAGAGGGACATGCAGACTCCCCACTGATCACAGAATCCGGCCTCGGGGCTCCATCCCAGGACCCTGGGATCATGATCTGAGCCGAAGTCAGAAGCTTGACTGACTGAGTCACCCAGGCGCCCCAGGAGCTAACATTTCTATGTTCTCACTGTGTGCCAAGCCCTGTACCACTGTCTTGGAGATTATTCCATTTGATTCCTTAATAACCTTAGAAGTAGATAGAATATTCAGATCCCCATTCTACAGATGAGGAAACCGAGGCACTCTTGGTTGAGTAACTTGTTTGTAGTCACCGAACATGGGAGAGAAGGGGCAGTGTCCCAAGCCACTGTGTGGTGGAACGTTCCAGTCCTGCTTGGGTGAAGACAGCCATATCTGCACCATCTAAGGGGCTACCCAGCATACTTTAGGAGTGGTTGGTTTGCTTTCTTCTTTAGATGCTTCTGTGGTATTTGGATTTTTTTTTTCCCAATAACATATATTACTTCTATAATCCCAAGAACAAATACACTTTCCCATGTTAAGGGGAAAATAAAGGAAGGAGCAAAGGAAGACTCATCTGTTCTGTCCTACTGAGCAGGGTCGCTAAGAGGTCAGTGCTGGAGTCCAGAGGCTGCGAGCCCCAGAGGCCACGGGAAAACGCTACCTGGAAACACCCAGGGGGAGTGGGGTCACTTGTTAGTCCATGAATGAGCATGGAGACATGGAAACGTGTAGTGACCAAGGAGTGGGGGGTGGGGCCTGTGCTTACTTGGCAGAACTTGGGGTCCCATCATGGAGAGGGTGCTGTCCTTGAGGATCTTCTCCTGGTAGCTCAAATGGTCCAGTGGGACTCAGGGGAGCCCCTGATCTCTCCTGGCACCTTCTCACCCTGGACTCACTTGCTCACTGACACTGTGTGTCCCAGGCTCTGGCTATACGGCAGCAAAGACTCTAAGGGCTTTGGATTTCTTCTTTGAGCGGTCCCTACCTATAAAAGACTGGAGGCTCCCCTAACAGCTCTTGTGCCCATGCACCCGCACCCTGTGGGGGAGGAGCTCAGGAGGGGGGAGGGGTGGTTGGCCAATGCCAGGGTGGGGGCATCTCTGGAGGGCGGAATGGACCCAGGCACCCCTCATTCATTCATTTCTTGCTGTATCAGTGCTGGAGTATTTCATGATGCAGTGAGCACTTGGCACCCATCATCTCATTTCATTCCCTAACCGCCTTTTGACGTCATTTCAAGCAACCACGTTTTGCAGATGAGGAAGGTGAAGCCGAGCAAGGCCAACGCTAAATAACTTGTCCACGGTCACCCAGCCTGTGAGCCAGGAATGAATGCAGATTAAAACCCAGGCCCATCGGATTGCACAGTCTGACCCCAGCTGGCACTAGGGGGCAGTATTTCCCAGAGGTTAGCGGGTCCGGGCCGCCGCACAACTCCGCCACTTCCTGGCTCTGTGGTCTTGGGCAAGGCTTCACTAAACGGTATGGGGGTTTCTCCACCTGCCAAAGAGGGATAACCATGATCCTATCTCTCTAGGGGCTAGGGTGTAACTGAATGAATATGCGTCCAGCACTCAGCGCCGTGGTGGCCGCACGTGATTATTATAGGCCTTCACGGCCATTGGCTCTTTCCCACATGCCCTGCAATGCACGTTATTTATGGAGGACCCGGGGATATCAAATCGAAAAAAATCACAGCTCCTGCTCTAAGGGAGCTCTGTGTCTAGGTCATTAACATCACTTGGGAAGCTTTCCGTAATAGTCCCAATTCCCAGACTGCACCCCACACCCAAGTAAGAACCCCTGAGTTTGGCTGGGGCCGTGACGTCAGAATTTTTGAGCTTTCTGGTGATTCCCATAGACAGCCCCCTCCGAAAAGGCAGGAGGAGTTCTTGAGCCTGTGAGCTCTGGCTCTGGTC